GGTGTGGTTATGTGTGTATCATTGGGATCAGCCCCTCTTCCTCCCCTCTTCTCCCCACCTTCCCCTGGGTACATTTCATTTTTGACCACTTCCAGTGTTCCTAGATTCAGATTTTGTATATTCCATGTTCCAATTATTAATATATATCTGTGCACCTGTTTCTTCTCTGGTTGAATCGTGTTCCTTCGGCAAATGGAGGCCCTGAAGGCTTTACCACCTCTCATTGTACGTCATATGGTCTCCTCTAGTTTGAGAAGGCAGATTTTTCTCAGTCAGAGTTTGAATGCTTTCTGACCTGGGGGGAGTTCATCTTTTGGCACTATATCTGACAACATTTTGCTGCTATTCATTAGGTTTTCAGTATCTGACAACATTCTCTTGTCACTTATAAGGTTTTCAGTGGCTCATCCCTTCTATCTGGACAGCCGGCTCTTTCTTAATCGTCTGTTCTGAGTCTGGAAGCGCTGCTGAAACCTGTTCACTTTGGGTGACCTTGCCGCATTTGAAATACCAGCGGTACAGCTTCCGGCAACATCCAAGCCACCATAGCATGCATGGAAAACTGACAGATATGAGTGGTGGACAAAATCACAGAATCCCTGTTAAACCAAAATATCTCAATGGGAAGCTATTGTTCCCGCACAAGATCTAGGTTTATTCCCTTCGAATGGCAGTGTCTCTTTCTCCAACCTTTCCCAAAAGCATCCTGCACGCTCCGATTACAACACGTCAAAATGGTAGTGTGGCATCTCCCAGGGTCTCAAGTTGTATTCCTTTCCAATCTTCTCTGAGGTTTAGCAACCAAAGACGTCTGATGGACAAGATCAGAGCTGTGAGGGGGATGGCATAAGGTGTCCAAACAAACTTCTCCTAGGACAGGCCTTGCTACCATTGAAGAATGAGCAGCACACCAATATGACAGCCAAGAATTCCTCAGCACACCTTTCCTGGTCTTTTCCTCACCAATGCATTTTTCAGATTTCTTTAAACTTCCTAAGAAATTTCTGTAATTGCCTTGTGCTCTTTGAGAAAATCTATTAAGATCGTCTGTTTTGAATTAAAACAAACCCCCCCAAAATCCCCATAACCTTCTAAGGCAGCGGTTCTCAACCTATGGGTGGTAACCCCTTTGGGGGTTGAACAACCCTTTCACAAGGGTCGCCCGATTCATAACAGTAGCAAAAGTATAGTGATGAAGTGGCAATGAAAAGAATTTTATGGTTGGGTGTGAGGGTCACCACAACATGAGGAACTGTATCAAAGGGTCCTGGCATGAGGAAGATTGAGAGCCACTGTTTGAAGGTGACCTCTCTGCCTTGAATTTAACTGACCTAACAGATTCCCTCAGAAACCACTGTTTTGATGGGGTTTTTTTAGGCATTTTAATAAGACTAAGGCAATTCTGATGTCTTAATTAATGTTTTATAATTGATGTCCTCTCCTTGATCTTTAGGTTCTAGTATCCATTGCAATGGTTACACAGAAGCTCACAGACAAAATTCACGATTAAAGGGGTTTATTAAGGAAGTTCATACATTGTAATGTCAGTGAGAACTGATCAGGGTTGCAGCGTTTATCAGGACATGTTGCAAAGTTCTGCCCCGTCTGCTAATAAATGCTGAACGGGAATAATACTGCTTT